TTGCGCTTGCTACTTGCGTTTCAGATCGTTAAAATAGGGCCCTTGGTGTTTAACTTGAACATCTGTTCACCGTTTATTTCATTACACAGCTAGAGGACCCAATTCAGCCTAACTACAACTTCACAACTTCTGTATACTTGGACCCAGCCTCAATCTGTCCATGACACACTGACTTTGGAACATCAGCTGGACAGGGAGAGGGTAATCAGTGGGGCAAATTGTTTTCAAAAGCAGCATCCAGTAAAACTGCGTATAAGCTGACCCCTAGCGTGATTTTGATTAGAAATCCAGGGAAAGATGCCAAAATATCTTCCACGGATTAATCAAGGCAGATTAAGTCTGAGATAATCTAGTCTAAATAATCCTAAACAGCATGGATATTTCATCTGTCCACTTGGCTCAATCTGTGGCACTAACACCAAAGAGTGTGTGGGAATGCTGAAATATGTGATGAGCCTCCTCCTCACATCCAGTTTGCCACAACATTGATCCAGGCTAATTAAGCCTTGGACACGATCCCATAGAAAACAAGTCTCTCAGTTTGATTGATGAGAGCCAGCTCAATAATACTTCCGGACTGGGAATATGAGATGAAGAGGAGTGTGCATTCCCTTCAGTGTTGGGAGTAACGCATTACAAAAGTAATACATTACAGTAACATTTTACTTTTTGCTGTAACACAGTAGTGTAAGGCATAACTAATCAATTTTCAGTAATATTTTACTTGTTTGTAAATAAAGAATAAATGGCAGCGTTTCTTTTTTACAGGAGGTGAGTCATGATTTCGGCCTCTGTGCTCGCGGGTAATGGGTGAAGATGGCATGAAGAAGACTATACATTCGTGAGAAAGACTATACATTCGCGGTATTTTTCATGTTTTCATCAAGCAATCATGTTTTTGATGCAGTGGTGGCGTGCTTAAGTACCGGTAGTAAGGGTGGTCGGTGGCGCTGTGGATAAAACACCTAAAAGCTGACACAAAGAACCGGCAAAAGCAAGGAAAAATTTTAATAGTTTATTAATGTAGATGAAGTTGGCGATGCTGACTCGCGATCTACACAGTAGGCTTGTCAATGCGCTAGAGAGAAATGCACATTTCATAAGCAGAGAGCAGTCTGTTTTCTTTCGTTTTGAATTGTTCTGTTTACAAGAAGACATTTCAATATAGATATATTTCTCAGGTCTGTGGAGTAGGCTATACCAACCCGTACGAATTTTACGAGGTGGCTAATTCGTAGCAATTCGTACGACCTCGCACTTTTGCTAAATCGTACATATTTTACAAGTTGGCCAATTCGCATGAATTCGTATGAATGATCTACCCCTGACCCCGCCCCTAAACCTACCCATCACGTGGGTTCAGACAAATCATAGGAATTCGTACGAGTGAGGTCGTATGAATTAATACGAATTAGCCACTTTTTAATCACTCGTACGAATTCGTACGAATTGGTCGTGAGATAGCATTTACTACACTTTTACGCTGAGTTTCGGTATATGAGACGAGCTCCAGTTCACGTGCCGTCGCCTCCGTATCGTGATTATCTATAATTGTCTGCTTTTACTTCTTATTTATTAAATCAAGTCAATTGGTTGATGAAACATTGATTCAAATTATGATACAAAACAAAATTCACTTTAAAGAAAGGCTTTGTGTCTTCTGTTTGAGGTCTCTGTGAAAGTTTTCAAACATCTTTTAGAGCCGCTTCAGAGCGGTCACGTCCGTAACAGAGAACTGTCATAAATGCGAAAAATGTTCTGTGGAGAGCCAACCCTTCCTCATCTGATTTGCACAGTGTAATTCACATAATTACAAAAACATTTATTTATAAAAATATATTATATAAGTTTTTTTTTTTGACACACATGAATGCTTGTCCAATATTAAAAATAAAACGCATGTGTAGACTGAAATTTTTCTAATGTCTGGACTCCTTTAAGGGAGTAGCCTATATGGATAAACAGCCTTTTCAATATATTGGTATTAAGTGCATTTTCTGAAAATCAATATTTCAAATTTTGACCGCAAATGTCATGTCCATAACCCCTGAATTCCCCAATTTTAAATAATTTTTTTTCAACTAGTTTTGTGGTCTAGGTCTACGTATTTTACTATGTCAACTTCAAATAATACTAATAGTAATTTAAAGATGTGGTAGAATTGGATCTGGACGGGAAGGATAATGCTGGGAGTTGAAAGGGGCGTGTTGCGATTCTACAGGTTTGTGAATTTGAGTGTTGCGATTTCGGTTTCATATCGCTACAGTCCTAGTCAAATATTAGTTTTAAGTCCTACTTCTGTATAGTTATTTTGGTGAAAGTAACTCAAAAGTAATACAGGAGTAATGCATTACAATTCTGAGACAGTAATATTGTACGGTAATAAATTCCTTTTAAATAACAGTAACACGTAATATATAATGTATTGCAGTTTGGAAGTAACTTGCACAACACTGATGCCCTTGATATCCCGGTATGTTATCTTAATTTCTGCACCATTAGTCTGATATCTCATTGCTGGGGAGCACTCCGCTGACCCATGACATATCGATTTCTCAGGTGCCTTGACAAGTGAGAGATAACCTATACAGGTTGTCCTTAGACCCAAGAAACCTGAGTCCAAACAGGGCTTGTCGCCTGTGATCTCACAGAGGAATATATAATTCTCTGTTCCCTGTCATTCAGTTGGCCACCTGATGTATAGTTTCAGTCAGCAGCTGGAAATCAATTGATGTACTGATGAGATGTGACAAGAAGACAGCCCATATTTGTGTTTGGGGCTGGACTTATGTCCCTCTTAGTTAAACTGATTTAAAGTTGATCCAAGCAAAGGACACTGGACACATTAACGGAGCTATCCAGAAAGGCGATCATTTGTGGGGATATTGGGATATTTGGGGTTAGGGGCTCACCGAAATTTCTGCCAAAAATGCTATTATCGGTTTCGGGCAAAAAACCCCAAAAAAACAGCCAAAAACGTAAACCGAAAATTAATGTCACTCACCCCTCCCATGCCATCGAGAGCTGACTGATATTGAAACTTGACTTGACAGGGAGTGGAGCGCAAAAGGTGCCCGATAAACGGTTACGTACAAGTGAGGAGGCGTACACTCCCTCACTTTCAGAAACGTTTGACGAATTTTTACAGGAAAGCACCACGATTCATAGCGGTGTTGGAACAAGGGCAGCCGCACAATAAATAGAGAAGTACTGTATTGGTGCACAAACAAAGGCCACTTCCCATTGCTTGTGCGGACTGCACGCAGGTATTTATCCGCCCCAAGCACCAGCACAGACAGTTAGAAACTATTCAGTCCAGCATCTCATGTTCTTAATGAGAAGAGGAACTGTCTTTCTTGTCAAAAAGCTGAGCCACTTTTGTTCTTAAAGAGAAACCTGCCTAAATAAGACATCTGATTAAATAAACAGCTGTCCAATTTTATGTGTATATTACATTAAATGGGGTCATGAACTGGCTTTTTAAATTATATTATATTGTTGTCTGAGGTCAACTTAAGACATTCGCTTAGTTTTTGCATTCAGCAACATTAAAATGAATAAGTAATAGGCTATTTTGTCCCCTAGTTTTGAGCCTAGTTGAAAAACGCTCGTTTTTTATGGGCGTCTAGCACTGAAGACTTGGAAGTAAACGCCCACTGCTGTGAGTGGAGAACAGTTTTGCATATTATAATGAGTTTCAACTCACCTGTCGATGCACTTGGGGGAAATTGTTTAGAAAACGTCCAATGTTGTAAAATTTCAACCGGAATGATTCGCCCATACATGTTCGACTCAGAGTCTGTGTGTTGCACCATTCCTGTCAGATCCAATATAGATGGAACAGCACCGTTCTTTACTCTTAATCGGTCTGCAAATCCAGTCTTGTTTACAAAACAATCCTCAGTGAAATGAAGCGAACAGACGGACAATGTTTTACCTCATCAGCTGGAACGTCATTAAAAATAAAGTTTATCCATGCAGTCCAATCGGAATCCAGAGGAAGTATATGCAGCGACTGTCTTCTTCCACAACCAGGCAGTGCAAAATATTCTGTATTGCTCAGTAGCTCGCTCCAGTTTGTCATCACGAGGTAGGAATCTATGTTATTTAGATATGCTTGTAATGCGCAAATCGGTAGGCGGGGCTAAAGTGGCCGTGTTGATGTTGATCTTCTTCTGCGGGGGTGGTGTTTTATCCACTTCGACGTCATAGGCCCCCACTTTGAAAAACGAGTCGTTTGCTTGAGTCTTGTCAATAAAAGCTTGGACTGACAAGGACATTTTCAGTTCTGAAACTTACAGGATATTCTTATAATATGATGACCTCTTAGATGTCAAAAGCTCAAGGAAAATTTGATTGCTCAGTACATCACCCCTTTAAAATTTTCATTGCACAACTTTCCTAAGGCTACACATAGGCTTAAATGTTGTTTACAGTTTGAGTTTGGATTAAGTTTTATTACTGTTTTTGCACATCGTTTACATGCAGCAACAGAATAGAGGCCCACTGCCATTCTGTGATTTTGTGTGCAGTTATTCAGATAATTGTGGATCTTTATTTGCACAACTGTTAAAAAACAATTTTTTTTCGGTTTTCGGCCGAGTGCATCCAAAATTGTCGGTTTCGGCCCAGAATTTTCATTTCAGCACATCACTATTAGGGATTACGTGCAAAGACAAAAGCAATCTACAGAACCTAAGATTTGCCATTGTATTAGAATGCTGTGTCGTTATTTCTGCAATTCCATTTCGTCAGTGGCAAAGAAATTATACAGTTCACCTTTAAATGAAACATAACGAAGGACTCCAGTAAGACTCCTGAGTAATAAAGGAAATTCACCCCTAAGGGTGATCCCTTTGTCCAATTACTTTACAACAGAGTAGCACCAGCAGCTCATACATGATTATCTCTCATGCAAGTCCACGGGTGTGACTAATGCAGAAGTTCAATTCCACTCCGTCAGCTTTTGAAAACCCCTCAGAGCCAAGGGACTCACCCACCTGAGTCTCATAAAGAGGATGAAGGCGACCAGCAGGGCTCCCAGAGAGATGCAGTGTCCAAGGTAGTTTATGATGACTGCAATGTGGTAATGCAGCTTGCTCTTCTTCTAAAGATCACAAAGGGACACACACACAAAGAGAGAGAGAAACACATTAGGAAGATGAGAGACTGATGTCCTGCAGATATCTGACATCTAAATCCCAACATGGCCAAAACATCCTAAAAGCTTTTTGGGCATTACTGGGACAGAAAAAGAAAAAAAGAAAAAAAAAAAAACAAACAAACACGAAAACTCTTAGGAACTCTGACAGTGTCAAGATAAATGAAAAATATATTTTAAAATTCAATTGGAAGGTATTATTTTTTAATTATTAAATAATCAATAATTAAAAATTAAAGTCAATAATCAAAGCAGCATCCATTTTCTAGTTTAAACTATTTTCACTATCATGAAGATTGCCAACCTGACATAATTCCTTTAATTAAGCGAATAGCTTTGGCTCAGTCAAATGAATTACTTGCTTATAGCACAGCAACTCACATGAAGCTGAAGTTTATGCCTATGCATATGCCTATGTTTATCCTAACATGTAATGTTTTTGGACAAAATCATATCAAAAGCCTGGCCAAACGATTCCAGGAAGCATATGTTGATCACGTAACACTCAGGTTACTATGTGTGAGCATATAGGCATCGTGTGCTTTTCCATCATGGGCCCAGCACCTTTCCCTTCTCTTGCCCCTGACTGTGTCCTCCTGGTGCAAAAATCTGTCGCTGAATTCCTGTGGTCGTCACAGGACAGGCCTGTGATGCAAACCCCCACTGGTCACTGCAGACCCCGCGGACCACTGAGACCAGAGGACCAGATTGTTCAAGCAGGTTGAGGAAAAGCAATTCTGGAATCAAGTGCCTACGAAATATATAAGGCTCATGAACTAGCCAGCTAGCACAATTTAACCCAGAAGACATTGCTCAGACGGCAAATCAATCAGAAACAGCAAGGGCGGATGTGCTTATTGCTTTAGGGATGAGGTAATACTTTTAGGAGAGAATTTGGAAAACATTGAATACATTTTTTGCTCAACATAACATAGCAGTCCCCCTAAGAGCCATTAGAAATATTACTTTTTTACATTACTTTTCATGCATAAATACATCGCCAAGATGTCTGCCAAAGCGTACATCATCTGAAAAGCACTATGATCAATGTTAAAAGGCTTGTGTGTACATAAAAAAAAAAAAATATCTGATAACAATTTAAAGGGACAGTTTCAGGGTATATACAGTAATCCTTAAGTTAAATTTACTACTTTTTAGTACCTTTTTTACTACCTTCAGATTTTTTTTAAAAACCATCACGACGCTGAATTGCAAGTGTTAACCAGCGACCTTTCTATTACACAGATTTTGACATTTATAACGCACGCATTCCATTTTTATGTTTAGTGGATTGCATTTGCGACCGAAGTGCATTAGCTCCCATCCAGTTGACATTGATGTTTACACATCAAACAATAGAGGGAATGCATTGACATCACTTTCCCGCCAGTGCAACCCCCCTCAGCCTGACTGAGTGGCAAAAGATCTGCTGTGTGACTGGATTTAATAGGGGAAACTATTAAACGAAAATGCGACTAAAACTAACAATTTGATCAATTTAAACTAAATGTTGGACTCAATATAGTTGGACTCCTAACAACTTACTAAAGAGCCAGTGATCCATGGATATTGACATGCAACCAGCAATCGTGTCGCCTGACATTTATGTTTGCCTAATTTCAATAAAAGGGAAATAAAAGCAATATATAGATCTACATAGGCTAAAGCAAATTTGCCTGTGAACGCTTTATATAAATACAATATAGGTAGGTCTAAATCCGGGTGATCACTTATATCAGGGTTATATAGCCTCTGTATATCGTCCAGCCACTGAATATGACGTCAGCATCAAACATAGACAGAGATGAAAGATCTTTAAATGTGCCCAGATAAGCTAAAGCCCATATTTATACGGACTAACGTAAACACAAAATAGGACACCTGATAGTCTGAAAAAAATAATACCTAATTTTAAAAAAAATAATACCTCTCAGACTACATTTAACACTTTTAATGGCCTTAAATTTGACAATTTTGATTTATCACTTTTTAATACTTTTTAAAACCCCGCGGACACCCTGAGTTTACATAAAAAAAAAAAAAAATGTTCCAACACCTTCATACGAAAATACAAACAAAGATATTTTGAAAAGTGTTTGCCACTGTTTTGGCCATACAATGTAAGTCAATGCGATCAACAACAGTGGACACCCACCCCAAAAAAAATCTAAAAGAAGACATGTTTGGAATGTCATAAGACTAAATATGAGTAAATGATGACAATTTTCAATTTGGGGTGGACTATTTAAAAATAAAGGATTCACATTTCCACCAATACCATTTAAATTGTGGGGTTTGGTATAATTTTGTTTACATTTCTGCTATATTTTGAACAATTTGAAGCTCATACAGTTGATATACAGTTAAACTATTTCAATATACAGTATGCTATATTTCAGTATTCAGTGTCATGTGAACCCCTCAGAAATCATTCTAATATGTTAGTTGGGTTGGTTTTGCTTTACTGTAACTTACGATCAATTTAATGCATCCCCGCTGACTAAAAGTATTAATTTTTAGTATTTTAAAATCACGTCCGTCCCATTCGGGCTGTTCAAACGAAAACATTGCAATTCTTTTTGGTGCTGTTCTAAAATTACACACTCGACCTTTAAATTTTCCCTTTCAACCGTGAGACTAAAGGACTTTAATAGCCATGTTTTCAATGATTTGCGCATTAGTAGGGGTTTAAACTCTCCCCGTCAGATGCCACTTCTTTTAACTAAATCCTCAGAGAAGGGCTTTTCAAAGCAGTCTCTCCTGATCCCTGCATTGTATCAAGCTTGCCCTATTTTAAGAGGAGGCTCGGCGCACCAACACACCCGTGGCATGCTCACCAATACAGCGCAAGATGTTCCCCTCGGGATGCTGCTGTCTCCTGGCTAGACCACGAGTCGTCTATAGCCAGATGGATTCACGGGCCATGAGCCTATGGGAGCTCTTGCACTCACATTAAGAATTTTACTATCATTTTGTGTTTTTATAATACAAGTTTCTTGCAGGCTTTTGGAAAAATTTCTACTTCACTAAATACATGAAATGCTTCCTAAAAGGGGGGCGTTCTCTGTGGATGCAAGCTGGGACTACAGACTACATTCTTGCATTAGCACCCTATCTCTTACAAACCCCGCAGGGAGCTTGTAGGCAATGTAAGATGCATTGTCGATGTCCTCTTGTTGCACTTTCCTCTGTAGAGTGCTTTCTTGTGTTGAGAGAGCATGGGGGTTTAGGAATCTTAACACCTTTTTCAGGCTGCATAGGTTTGTGCAAGAAGTAAGACTGGACTCGTTTCATGAAGTTCAGAATCTGTTCTTTTTTCTGTGAGACAATATCTCCATTTATCATGCATTTTGATCTATGAAACATTGCTGATCTTTTACATTCACAAACACCTAAAACACACATGAAAGGTAAAATCTGAAAAAAAGCATAACAGGACCACTTTAAAATTATTATAATGTACTTCACACTAAAGGGGGTCGCACACCGGACGAGAAGCGCAGCGCCGCGCCACGTCTAGGACAACTCCAGGTATCGCACACCGGACGCGCACTTTCTCATCAGTGTATGGCCAGCAATATTGTTATGTTTAATGAAATTATGAAATGAAGATAATGTCTGTTCTATGTTATGATTGTACTGTACAATTAAATACAATCGTTGCTGAGTCTGCAGCCTGAAAACTTTACCTCAGAGCTTCCGTTAACTGATTGAATTGAGAATCTCACCTGAAAAATCCAATAACATCAGCAATTGTCATTCAAGCAGCTGATTTCTGTAAATGAATGCAAAACTAAATGTATATTGGAGCATAGCAACGATTTGAGACAAAAAAAATAATTTAAATTTTATATAAAACTATGTAAATGGTGCTCTGTGGCGCAGCAGGATTTTGAACATGAGCCATTGCTGGGCGCCAAGGACATACGCCGAATGGCGCAGCACCGTTGTGTGTGCACTCATAGAGAATAATGTGTTTGAATATTAAAGATGTGGCACTGCGCGACGCGGCGCTGACCCCCTTAAGAGTCTTAGTTTTAAGACCTGTACACTGAAATGGTTTTGTAATGCAAAATGATTCTTATTTGACAATATCTGCGAAAAGCCCCATTTGGAAACTTTATTTTTAAGGGTGTAACTTCTCAAACCGGCAGGTATAACTTACACACTCCACAGGAAACAAAACATCTTCTGCATGTTTCTAACCAGGTGGTTTGAGGGCAATTGCTCATTGAGGTTAAGTATCATCACATCTAATGTCGTACCCTATGATCTCCTTTCCTGCTACAGGGAACATTTCATTAAAAACACTTTTGGTCTGTTTTTTTTTTTTTTTTTCTCAATAAAGAGGGAGAGGTGGGGGAATGGGAATTGTGTTTTATAATGGGAACTATTTCATAACTATTTCTTTGCAAATAATGGCAATCTGTGGTTGAAAAAAAAAAAGCTAAATTTTAGATGAAAGACCTCAAAATCTTGTGGCTCGTTGAACATCTGAGGGTAATGATTAAATTGTGCAATTGGATTAAGAGCATCTTTAGACATGAGAGCCTCAGAGAGCCTGAACCGGTCACTGGCCTTCATTAACTTGTTGCACTCTGCCTGTGGTGATTCCTTTAGTGTTTAAAATTGAAATCATATTATTTCTGAGACACTGCATTGCTATGTGCTGCCTCTGTGATTTCGTTTGTAAATTTTTGGCTCAATCAATCCCCATACCATCTCTTGCGATTCCAAACTTTGAGCCTTGAGTGGAGCGAATGCAGATTTTCAACCTGCCTGGCCATGTACATCCCCCAGGATGAAACGCACGCAAGTTCAGCCTCCCCTGCTGGCTCCATTTCCACATTTGCCTAAACTGTGAGCACCACGGAGTCACCACATGTTCGCCTATGTGAGAGAACTTATTAATTATTAAATCAACAATCCTGCAGGAAACAGATGGC